AATATTTCATATATGTTAATTTTATTTCCGTCTCACACCATCTCTGTGAAATATTTTCCTCCCTATATTCCGATAAGGAATCTCAGAGATTCTAAGCAGCTTCACCAAGGACATACAGCTTAAAAAGAGAACCAAGGTGTGTGCGTGGCGGGGAATGGGGGAGCTCTGGGGGTGCAGGGGGCAGGTGGGTTAGGGGAAACATGTGCTGGTCATGTTTTCTGTGTCTGTATCATTTGTAAAACACTAAGGCCTGGAGGAGACAGGGGTCACATTCTATTTCTACCCAGAGAGATAGTGTGAGAGTATGGTGAAGTGAGTGCTCAGGCTTAGATATAAATTCTGGTTCCACCACCTGCTGGTCATTTGACCAAGTCGTTTATTTAAACTCAGCTTTGTCTATAAAAATGAGGAAGCTGTAGTCCCTGAACTAGAAGAAAGACAAGCTCAGCCAGTGCTCAATTAAACACAAGCTATTGCCTGTATCTCTGGCCACCAGCACAGCACCTGGCACAGAAGGGGAGCTCAGAAAATACCCCATGCAGAGAACCCACTATATCTGACTGAGACCAGCTTTCTAAAATAAGCACAATGGCATGAATTCCTGGGGTTCAGGGGTCCTTAGACCCAGGAAAAACTCCTGAGTTCATTGCCCAGAACCCACAGGACCTGCCAACAAACAGCTTTCCTCTGCTTGCTTGTGAACAGCTGATGCTGAATCTACACTCGAATGCTTGCTGTGCCTCTGTGAGGTGAGACATATCCCAAAATAAACCAGCAGAAAGAGAGGCAGGAAAATCACTTCCAGGAACAAGTGGCTGGCAAGGAGGAGGCTGACAGTAATAACAGAGAGAGACAGACTTCAGGAGAGTGACCAACTGCTCGGGGGCCAAGAGGCCGACACCCAAATCCCACCTGGGCTGCTAGAAAGGTCCATCAAGACTGGGGTTGGTCCCCCTATTCCGAGGAGTCTGCAAATTAAGCCCAGTCACAGCTTCCTGCTCTCCCCTCTTTGAGGTCTCAAAGATCGCAGGGCTGAAGCTGTCCCTTCAAAAACCAAAGGCAAAGGGCTGGTAGGGTGTTCTTCTTGCACACAGTCAACCTGGGTTCAATCCCTGGCATCCCATATGGTCCCCCAAGCCCGGAGTGATTCCTAAGTGCAGAGCAAGGAATGATGCCTGAGGAACCCCTAAGCACTGCCACATGTGACCCCAAAACAAACAAACAAACAAAAACACCAGAAAAATAAAATGAAACCAGAGGCAACAGAGGAATTGCAGTGGGGTCAGGACTGAATTCACAAACTAGCCATCCTGCCATTTTCCTGAGTGTCCCCTGAAGAGATTCCTCCCTCCTCTGATGCTGTGTCAGAACATGCTCTGCTAATCCCCTCCAGCTCTCTCATGAAAAATCCGGTAGAGAACTTGACAGAGTCCATCTGCAGAACTGCACACGTGAAACATGTTATAAAGTAATGTTTCTTCAACCAAAAACAAAAATGAATAAATAATATACTAGTCTTTGTGAAGAGAATATTTATGACCACAGAAGTTCCTCCTCATGCCCAGTTCCTCCCTATTCTAAGGTACACTCTCTGGAACATCGTCCCAATATAAAATCCACAAATTATAAAGCTGGCACAAATGGAGAATTTTCCACTTAAAAATCAGCATTTGGAATGTGGTGAATTAATTATTCTCTGATTGAAGGGAAGTGCCAGATACTTACACAGACCACTGAGATGTCAATTTCCTACCAATGTCCTATATGCCCAGAAAACCTTTTTCAAAAGACACACAGAAACCCCCAATCCTATTCAGGGACCTGAGAAAGTCTTGTCTGCCCATCCATCTGATGCCACAGCGCCAGGCTCTGAATCACCCCTAGATCAGACCCTGAGGACAGAACCCTCCTCACCTTCCCTCGCCCCTCCCGGTCCGGCTTTGGAGACCAAGACTCCTGGGCTTGAGCAGGCACACTGGAGTCCGAGCTGCTGAACTGTGGGGCCTGAGTGTCTGCATACAACACCACAACCCAGCCCCTGGGGCACCTTCGAGGAAATTTAGGGAGAAGACCTTGCAAGAGGCTTGGTGAAACAGGAGGCAGGGAAGGTGATTCACATAGGCATAGGGCTCAGTGTGAGATTAGAGTTGCTGTCTGGCCCCCTGGAAGGTGCTGCCCTTGTCACATGCTATGGCTCTCCCTCCTCAAGGACACAACAGGGCTCTCCCATTGAGCCATCAGCAGAGGGCTGGCTTAGGGCTCAGGGGTCAGAACTTGCAAAGTTGTTAAAGCAAAGAGATGGAGCCACAGGACATCAGTCTCCAACAGGTTCAGCAACTTGCCTGGTTAGAGTGGTGAAAGCTCATAAACACATAAAACCAGAGAAGACAGTCTACATCTGCCACTCCCCATCCCCAAGTGCCTCCTTGGGTTTCAGTCCTCAGAGATCAGCAAGGTTCAGTTCTCAGAGGAGATGGGAGAAGGAAGTCAGACGTCAGATCCACTGAACCCAGTACTTCTGTTCCTCAAACTTCCCTCAGCCCAACTGTATTGGCTCCAACTTGGCATCCTTGGTCCATCATCACTCTTCAGACACAGAAACTACCTGCAAGCAAGCCCAACAGGAGTAATACTGCTACCTGAAAGTGGCTGGCACAGCAAATACTGCCTATGCCATCATCGCAGTGCCAGGGCAGTGAGGACATAATGATGGGTTTGGGCAAGGAGGTCATGAAACTACACCCTGACACTGCCAGGGCTCACCATTTACCATGTAATAGAGCAGAGCACAAATAGCCTACATCTGAGAGAACAGGCCCAAGTGGCACCACAGAGGGCCCCAGCCAAGGACAGCTGGGACGAGACGGAAAAGATGGAGGAAGGAGGTCCAGACTCTGGGCTCAGTGACACAGGTCAATGTACCTAAGCAATTTGAACTTCAATTTTTTTTTATCTAAAAATAAAGGTAGTAATAGCTCCTATTTGGGCCAGGAGATAGTATACTGCTTAAGTCACATGCCTAGCATGCATCAAACCCAGGTTCAATTCCCAGCACTGAATGGTGCCCCAAACATCACCATGTGCAACACTGGAGATGCCTAAACACCACAGTTGTTTTTTTTGTTTTTGTTTTTGTTTTATTTTTAAATAATGTAGGAGTACTGCTATTTGTTCAGCCATTGATTAAGCTATTTGAATTGGGCATGAACCCCACATTACTTTTTTATTTTACTGTATCACTGTGAGATAGAGTTACAAAGTTTTCATGTTTGAGATTCAGCCATACAATGATGGAACACCCATTACTCCACCAGTGCACATTTTCCACCACCAATGTCCCAAGTATTCCCCCCCAACACACACACACACACACACACACACACACACACACACATACACACACACACACACACATCGCAGGCCTCACCCTTTCTCTACGGCAGATAATTTTCCCAATACTCTCTCTCTCTAATTTTGGGCATTAATTTTGCTCGAATTTTCCCACCACCATTCAAGCCTATCTGCCAGAGGCAGACTCTAGATAATATATTTTCCATAGCTCATTTTGAATATCAAGAGAGCTCACACAGCCACAATTGTAAATGTAAATTTCTAGATTGTAAATGGTTGGGTTCCAGAGACATCTCTGTATGACACTAATTCATTTTGGGATACAATTGGAAGTCTCTGGGCCAGGGCTGTTGGTGTGCTAAGATGGCATCTGGAGGCAAACTGTGGGCTTGACAGCCAGTCTTCTGAGCGGGCAGTGACCCGGGGAGGGACAGCCTGTGTCCTCTGCCACCATGCAGTCTGGAGATTTAGTCTTGAACCCGCATACCTGGGCTTTGCTTGTGAAAGCTCTTGGTGAGCACCACAGTTGTGACCCTGAAGATCCCCTCACCACCAGAGTGGCCCAGGTATCTCTGGTACTTCAGAGTTAGAGAGTAGTACAATACATTATGCAATAAATCAGTGGCCCACGGGCCCCAGAACCTCCTAAGCAACACCTGGGATGCCCCTCCCCAGAAGTAGTTATAACAGTTCTGTTACTATGACGACTACTCACAAAGAGCACCCAATCCAGTACCCAAATAAGACAAACATTCCATAACCGCTGGCTATTCCCCACAGTTACTGGAACCCCTGGGGTCAGCCTTCTGATAAGGTGAGAAAGCTGTTCCTTCTGAGGAGACTGAATCTAAAAACCAGACCACACCCAGCCCTGCCTCTTGGCACAAAGTTCTTGAGCAGCAGAATACGCCTGCCCCGCACCGATGCTCAGGACTCTCCCATGAACAATATTTCAGCAGCACTGAGCCGAGCAGCAGAGCCCAAAATAGCATTTGCAGAGCAAGGCACATGTCACTGTCTCTCCTGTGCCTCAGAAGTGCAAGGAAAGAAAGTTTTCAATTACTCGCTCAGAAAGCTCGGCCACCCACCACCTGCCTGCCTTCTGGGGCACTTGGATCGGCAACCACTGCTCTGCTGGAAAACACAGGCCCTGAGCACTGCAGGGCAGCCACTGTACTGTCCACAAACATAAACACACACACTGTCAGGCCACACACCGACACAGACACACACACACTCCCCAACATAGACACACACACCATCACATGCACACACACAAGCCCCAACACTGACACAGACACACACACACCATTACAGACACACACAAGCCCCAACACTGATACAGACATACACACACCATTACAGACACACATACAAACCCCAATACTGACAAAGACACCACACACACCCCAACATAGACACACACACACATCCCAACACAAACATACACACAAACCCCAACACTGATACAGACACACACACATAGACAAAGACAAACACACACTGACAGACACACTAGCACATATACCACAAACACACACACACACACACACACCCCACACCACACAGATACCCCAGAAGACCAGAAGTGACTGTTCCTGCTACCACAAAGGTCACATGTTTCACAGGGACAAGGCTGATCTAGGTACCTGGCTGAAGGACCTGCCACTCATGGGTAGGGTGAAACACCTCCAGGATCTCAGGCTGCAGCTCTTCCTCCACTTTCGTATCCTTTTTCTCTGATTCTTCAGTGACGCTCTTCTCTGGGTTGGTTAGCGCAAACCCCTTCAAAAAAGAGAAAACACACACCTGAGCCACCCCAGCAAAGACACCAAGGACAAAGGACAGGCCTGAGGGGCTTCTGTTCACTTCCAGGACTATCTCCCTTCCCAGCGTAGTCAGGAGCTTTCCAGAGGTTTCCTGCACAACCAGTCTGAGTGAGGTGAGGGTGGTCAATGAACACTGCCACACATCTATGTGCACATAAGGAAAAGGCCCAAAAACTCCACACTGACTAGAGGGGGGCAAGGGAGAGCAGTGAGCCAAAGGCAACAGTAAGAGGCTGTATTCTGTGTTACTTACTGGTGTTTAAAACTCAGACCTGTTGGGACCAGGGATGTGGCTCAGGGGTGGAGCACAGGCGTCCTATGTACGAGGCCCCAAGTTCAGTCCCAGGCACACATACACAAACAGAAAAGAAAACCTGCACTTATTACATCTGAAATTAAAAATCAAAGATATTTAACAAAGGAAAAATGTATCTGAATGGGAGAGTAAGGCCTTAAATGACCAATACAGGTATACAGGGGCCAGAGTGATAGTACAGCAGGTAAGACACTTGCCTTGCACACAGTCAATCAGCTTTGATTCCTGGATCCTGATATGGTTCCCCAAGCCTAACAGGGAGAAATCCCCGAGCACAGAGTCAGAAATAAGCCCTAAGCACTACCACTGGGTGTGACCCAAAAATCAAAACACAGACAAAGGCTGGCAGCTGAGCCCTGAGAGATTGTTACACAGTCAGCAGAGCACAGTCAGGGCAGGAGAAAAGCCCCCACAGTGACTATGAGGCATAAATGATCCTCTGGACACCTTCCAGTCCCTGAAAGGGAAGTCCTGCTGGGCTGAGGAAGATTCTCAGGTTGGAAATCTTCCTCCCTCTTCCTCAAATCTTCCTTCCACCCAGTGAGAGCATGGAGGATTAATGAGATGGTGTCTATGAAGCACTTTGAGCTCAGAAGGCAGAGATGCAAGATAAATATGAAGTATTATTCATTCTGCTCCTTCCCAGCCTCCCATCTTTCCTGTCCCATTTTTAAACGTATTCTTGCATAAAAGCAGTAAGGCCTCAGGAAGTTGGAAAGAAGATTCCAGAGATCTGGGAAATGACACAAGAGTGGGGGGTTAAGAGGAAACCCACTCTAGGGGTACACAGGGCTTCAGTCCTCCAACCATTCTCTCACTTCCCAATTCTTCCCTAGTAATAGTTAGACACGTTTGTAGATTCTTCTTGTGAGCCCAAATTTCAGCTGGGAAATTTACATAGATCTCATTTTCCTTTCCCTACAATTTTACTACAGCATGGGAGGCAAAGCTGAATCTCTCCAGCAGTGCCCCAACTCCAGAGAAAAGCCCCCACCTGCCTGGTCCCTGCCTCGGGTGGTCTGATCTTTAATTGACTGTCAGAGGAAAGGTTAAGGTATTGATGAGGATGCAACGCCCCTCCAAGGAATTATACATTCTAACAAGAAATAAAGACATGAAATTCATGCAGGAGAATTTCAGATCTTGTTAAGGGTCTTGTTAAGGAAAATGTTTAGGATAAGAAGGCCTCAGAGACTGGAGCAATAGTATACAGAGGGTAGAGCATTAGCTGACATGTGGTCAACCAGAGTTCAAATCCCAGCATCCTGGGAGTCCCCTGAGTACTGCCAGAAAAAATTCCTGAGTGCAAAGGCAGGAGTAACCCCTGAGCACTACTGCATGTACCCCCACCCTTCTCTTAAAATAAAAAAAATCAGTCCTCAAATCATGTCATGAGTAATGAGAGGGACCAAATGTAGCATGGTCATTACGAGCTCAGGCTCTACATCACAGAACACAATGTCTGGGTTCAGTTTCTTGTGACTCTGGAAAAGATACTTAACTTTCCAAACTTCCATTTCAACGTGCTTATAATGGAATAATAAGAATACTGGCTCAAATTAGATAAGTTTCTTTCTTTTTTTTTTGTAGGAGTACTCCTATTTATTCAGTCACTGATTAGCTGATTGAATTGGGCATGAACTTTACCTTAATTTTTTTAAATTTCATTTATTTTTTTTCTTTTCATATTTATTTATTGAATCACTGTGGGGAAAGTTACTAAGCTTTCAGGTTTAAGCCTCGGTCATACAATGATCAAACACCTTTCCCTTCACCAGTACTCATTTTTCACCACCAAAAACCCCAGTATACCCCCCCTCCCACTCCTCCAAATGCCTGTGAGGCAGATGATTTCTACTTAACTCTTCTCTATATTGATTACATTCATTGTTTCGGCAAAAGATGCACCATTATTATTTAGAATTTCCCCCCAAACAATCAGAATTGATGAAAAGGCATTGTGAAATATTTTGTTTTCTATAGCTGGTTATGAGAATCATATAATGTCACGCGGCCACGATTTTGGATTTCTGCAAAGAGCCAGATAATTACGAGATTGGTTTCTGTGTGTCTAGTGTTATGGCCATGCTGGAGAGCCACTCGTGGGGGGTAACACGTGACCTCGGTAGGCCGTGAAGGACGTGCTGGTACCGCCCCCCCTTCCCATGAGACTGCAATTCCCCCGTCACCGCTGGCTCATACCTGGCTTTCCAGTACACTCTGAGGTGGCGGCCACCTTGCTGCCAGGTGGGGGTGGGGGAAAAGGCAGAAGGGAGCAACACCCTTTCCCTCCTCGGGAGGCATGGCGCCACAGTTTGATGCATGGTCCATTCACTTTTCTTCTGCAAGCTGCTGGGCTCTGGACTAAGTCCTTTTGCCTCTGGAGCCATGGCCGTGCCAGAGAGCCGCTTGTGGGGGTCAACTCATGACCTGGGTAAGGTGTGAGGGACAAACCGGTACAGCCCCCCTTCCCATGAGACTGCAGTTGCCCCGTCACCGCCAGCTCATACCTGGCTTTCCAATAAGCTCTGAGCCGGCAGCCACCTTGTATGCAGTCCAGATGCATTTCTGCCAAAAGCTGCTGGGTTTCAAGATTTGTTTCTGAGTCTCTGGTATCATGGCTATTAATCAGCTTAATCAGGAGCCAGAGAGGTCATTTGTAGGCGGCAACTTGGGGTCTCGTTGGGATGGGGAGAGTCGGCTCCACCCCCATGTGGTGAGGCCCCGTGTGTCTTGTCACTGCAGGCCCAAACCTGACTGTCCAGTGACCTCTGGAGGATGGTATTCACCAGGCCGCCAGGGGGAACAGGCCAACGCACGAAACCTATTCCCACCTGGAGTGGTCCAGCACCAGTAACCTACTGCAGGAACAGGATGCATTTCTGCCAAAAGTCTTTGGATTCTGAGATTCGTTTCTGAGTCTCTGGGATCATGGCCATTAAGCAGTTTGATCAGGAACCAGAGAGGCCATGCTTCCAATTATATAGCTGAGCCAAAGGTGGTTTGTGAGTGTGTCTCCCACATACCGAACTTTTGGCTGTTTACTTTCTTGGTAAACTTTGCCCCAAGTTTTTGGGGTCTGGCCAAAGGCACAGCAGCAATTTTGGGGTATCTGAAAGTCTGACGTTGCCATCAGGCTGCTGATGCACTCACCTCACAGGTACAGATTGACCTGCTGGCGGCACCATACCCCCTAGATGTGTTTCTTAACACACAAGGGCATCATTGTTCAGTGGTTGTGGTCATCTATGGGCCAGGGCCCCTCTACCTTCTCCCACACCTAAACCTTGGGGTGTGCACAATAGGAGTTCAAATGAAAATTTTACCAGAATGTGTCTGAGACTGACAGACTGGCAGGGTACATCCGATGCCACAATTCTTGCCAGTTATCATGTTTCTCTGCTTTCCACTCACTTCCATGCCTGGCTCAGGCTTAGTATGCAATTACTGGCCAAAGAAATAAAAAAGCAACATCTTCCCACAAGCTGGTCTGTGCCATGGTCAAGGATGCCTCAGACTTCAGCAAGGCAAAAGTAGCCACATGTGCTAGAAGCCATGAGTCCCACACTCCAGACCTGTACCTGGAACCCATGTGCTCTATTACGCAGCTTAAGGGTCAGCTTCTCCACAAGCACCCCACACTAGAAGGTAGGACCAGGAGAACATCAATCAAATTGATCTTTGAGATGTGGGGTGACAAAACCTCCTGCGGCTAGGCAGGGATGGATGTGAATGAGTATAGGGGAGCAGGTGTAGAGCCACGGGGAGCAGAATCTTGTGGAGTCAGATCCCTCCTGCCATGACTAAGGGGCACAGCTGCCATGCTGCTGTGAGAAACTCAACTTGAAAGGAAGACAGAAATCCACATTTTTATGCCAAATGTTCTTATTTTTAGAACACTAAGAGGTCTAAAGTGATGGTCTCTGAACTGCAACCCTAGACTTAGTGTACAGCTGTAGCCAGGCAACTTCTGGCAGGTGGGCCACGAGCAAGCCACCAAACTCTCCACCCTAAAAGGAAGCAGAAAGAGGTTAAGGTATGGTGAGGTGAATAGGACAGAAAGCTCTTTACAACTAAGCAAGACTAGTACTCATTCTGATGACTGGATGCTGGGAATGGCTCCTACTCTAGGTTTCTTTCAGAGTTAAAAGAGGAGGTTCATGGGAACTGGGATCCTCACCCCGTATCACCCTGTTTCTGGCAACTCAGCAGTCACGCCCATAAGCCACCTCTGGCTGGCCAGATAATCTCATCATAGGCCACCATCCAGATCACATGTTCTTTTCTCCCAGAAGGGAGCACAACACAACACTCGCCATAACCATGCCGCCGGACCCTGTGTCAGGCTGTTTCATTCAGGGTGCCCCAAAGAGGGGTGGGTGAGACCCCTCCCTACCCCAAGGGACCCAGCCCCAGCAGCTGAAAACCTCTAAACTCAACCACTGCCATGTTCACAGCTGCTCTCCACACGCTCAGGCCGAGCCTCACCCACAAGTGAACCTATTCTTGGACCACATGGCCACAATTGCAGTAGTGCGATTCTTCATACCACACACCACCCATACTCCAAGAGTACTGCACCACATTGATGGGGTTCAAACTAGGAGGCAACCAATCTTAGAGCAAAATATATTTTTACA